GAACTTTTTAACTTGCATTAGTGCTATACACCCCAGGTTGGAGGAAGATAAGTAGAGACGAACAGAAAAGACTAGAAGCAGCATGGCCTCCTGCTGCATCACTAGGAACTTGCATTTTGAACATAGTTCAGGGAACAACCATGTCTACAATCCACTCTTGCTTGTACCTACATTTCAAGAATGGTACATAATGATTAATTAGATTGAAATAAAATGTTCTAAATTTCTGCAATGTTACAACTCACAGATGCCTTTTTGCAGAACACAGATTTTTACTATAAGCTTATCTCCTTACTTGAAAAAGGACATGCATCAAATAAAACATTCTAAAGCTACAGAGATGCAAGCAAGAAAAAAAACAGGAAGTTATTGATCAACGAGTTTTTAATAGTAAAAGCACTTCAGGAGGTTGGCTCATTTTGACAAGTGAATTTACTGGGGGAGGAGGGGAAGGGAGTGAGACAACCATGCTTCTCTGTGAATTTAATTTCCAACATTTGTTTTCAATCAGTAGTTCTAATAACATTAGGTAGAAATCTAGAGAAAGACCCAGAACAAGTAGAATCTTACACATCTACTCAGTGAGGTTTCTGTGCACTTCAAACGTCTCTTGGAGATAATACCCCCAGCTCCAGGAGAACACGCCCAATTTACAAATAGAAATTACATTTCTCAGGTTATAAAGGAAATGCACAAGCAACTAACATTAACTACCAAAGGCTTAATAGCACAAGAAAAACTGCTAGAATACTCTTTTGGTAATACAAACACACTGTGAACAGTAAATGGAAGATCTCCATTTTCAGATGCCTCACAAAGTAAAGCCCTTGCTGAACAATCCTCTAGGATCTCAGTAATTCACATGCAGGGGAGAAGTGGACGAGCAAATCACAATACTCTGAATCATTGCACTGTACACCTTGCATCTTCTAGCTTGATGCTGACTCAAGCTACTGAGCACAACTTAGGGATTTCCTTCAAGTAGATAGCCTGTGATTTCTACAGAACTTCCTAAAATCCAGAGATGAGTATCAAAAGGATACTTTGAAAGGATGGGGCCCTGGGCAACCTGGAATAGTACCAGATGTGGAGGTTGGCAGCGCTACCTGTGGCTGGGGGCTTGGAACGTGATGATCCTTGGGGTCCCTGCCAAACCAAGCCATTCTATGACTTTCTAATATCTACATTAATAATGCTTTTTCTTAACAAAAGGGTCTAGAAGCTAGCAGAGCCTGCCAAGTCTCCTTCCCTTCCTCTCTCCTCTCACACGTGGCTTTCAAGAACGCTACTATGTTGAAAACACAAAATTATCTTTGCCCAACAACATGTAATCCAACAACAAAACACCATCTCAAATGACTTGATAGGAGAAAAATCTTAAGTGCTTTTTATAGTCATATCAATTCCAAGGTAAACAATCTGACACCATGATATTCAAAGAAATAAAATTCTAATACTCCTGTCCCATATTCTGCACTGGTTTTAATCTTACCCTACAGAAAGTTGCTGCTAAGTATTCCTAAATGATGAAATTTAACAGCTAAGCAAAAAAAAAAAGTTACATCTTAAAGCCATCTCACACCTTACAGCTATTTTCAGAATAAGAAAACTAGAAACAAAATACTTGAACATTATGAGAAATTAAACTACATAGTACATTAAATTATTTTCTTATTTCTAGATGTACAAGTACAAGCATATCTGGTATTATAATTTGCCTTAGTTTGGGTACTTTCCTAAAATTGGACTTATGTTGAGGGAGTTTAATCTGAAATAAATCTTACACCAGAACTGGTTAAAGGTAAACACTAATTTAGAGTTGAAATTTAACTAAATCTTTCAAAAACTTTGCACTTTCATGCAAGTTTAAAGGAGCATTTTAGCGATAGACTGAATTGATATAATGGAAGGTGATGCCAGAACAACCTGCTCTGATTTCTACCACCATCTTCAATCTCAGGCTTCTTTTGCACCTTCTGCTGCACACATCCCAATCACCAGAGATTGTTCATGGATCACAAATAACTCATTCTGCAAGAGAAAAGCAAATGCTTTCTGCTGACTTAGCTCCCTGACTGAGCTTACCATGAGTTAGATAAGTGTCACCTGTCAGCTAATTAAAAAAGGTGATAATACCATGGTGATATTGAAGAAAAGACTGTGACTGTCTCCTTGTGGCAGAAACTATCCCTTAACTTATGCCCAAGGACATGATATGTATTGCAAATCTGTAAGTTCATTCTGCTTGCTCACCAGCTTTGTTACTCTTTAATGATTTTGCTGGCTACTGCCAATCCTAAAAACAGCTTCAGAGTAACAATTTTACCTACCTAGCAATATGAATCCATTTAGGAAAAAAAAAAATTTATAGAAGAAGTACATTTGTTATTCTATCTCAGGATATATATATATATATATATATATATATATATATATATATATATATTTTTTTTTTTTAAGATAACACCAAGCTAAGATTTAAATGATGTTACTAATGCTCCTCAAATAGTTCCAAGCAAGTACTCTACAAAACATCTAACTTGTAATCTTTCTACTTTTTATTGCAACATTTGTTGAATAAACTCTAAAGGTCATTTCCATAGCCGAGGGAAATTTGAGTAATATCATCATAAATACTCTTAGAGAATCTAATTTTAAAAAAAATAATAATAATAACATCACTTCTATGGATGTTATCCTTGGACTATATCCAAATGCACGCTAAAAATAGTAGGAACAGAGTTATATTAAACCAGGAAAGCACAAGGTGTCTTGATGCAAAATATTGGTTTACATAAAAATAGAAAATATTTTTCCCATGGAAGTAAACTAAAACAGCCAAGGGAAAAAACACCAGACCAATTACTCCTCATCTTAACAAGACGTTGTATGTTTATTTCTTGTTATTACACAAGAAACTCATGCTAGTGAAATTGGGCCTGAGGTAGCAGAAAAAGCAAAAATCACAAGTACGACTTTATGAATAAAAATCATAGAATGGTTTGGGTTGGAAGGGACCTTTAAGATCATGTAGTTCCAATCTCATTTCTATAGGCAGAAACATCTCCCACTAGATCAGATAATCACGCACAAAAATTTTGGTTAACTGAGAATTTAAGTTGTTTACTAAACAAACACAACACCTCCTAATTTCAAAAGCAGACATGACACATACAAAATACCATCGCTTCTTATCAGTGGTTAAGATACAAGCCAACAATTTGAAATACCTGAATTCTTCAGAGATGGACAATGATTTTTTAAAAAGCTAACAATTATGAATATACTTCCACATCACTACTGTACCAAGGCAATTTTTAACCTTTTCCTTTCTCTCACAGAGGTACTGAAGAATTAAACTTATTTACATGGGAACACATTAGATTCAACCAATTTCCATTCTCCCTTCCCAATTATTACTACATCACGCAAGCATTATCACACCAGTGATACGAAAAATAGTCTTTCATGAAAAGCAACCCTTACTTCTCAAAGCTCCAAGAGAAATTAATAACATCAGGCACCAGATCGGTTGCAACACATCAACAATTGATAAAACTTGCAAAGGAGCAGCACAGGTCATGCAAAACACCTGGTGCTACAGGATAGAAATAGTTTTATGAATACATATTCTTCCATTAAACATAGCTGAATATAGACTTTTCAGGTGTTCCTTTTTAAACTGTGCCTGATTACATCTCAGCTTTCTGGCAAAACAACAGCTGTCTCCTTAGGAAAGGAGTAATTGTAGCACAGAAGTCAAAGATGTATTTGCACTTGCTTCCTGCTTTTGCTCATGGCTACCAATCCGAAAACAACAATAAAAGCCCACAAGTATGCTAACATCTGGAATTTATCAGAAAGGTCAACAATAAATACCCAAGAATGAGGTTAAAAAAAAAAAAAAAAAGTGATCCATACCAAAACTTGAACCCTAATTCCAGCCACTTATCAAAATTAAATAAACTTTATTTCAGAAAATATCCGTGATTTCCATTCCAGAGCTGTCTCAATTTGCTCATAGCTTTTAAGAAAACATTCAGTCCACATCCAAAGATTAATCTGAGCGCATAACTACTATTAAGTACTTGAGAATAATCTATGTCTTGCTTACAAAACTAAATAAATGATTAGAAGCTTCTGGACATGCAAACCCATTTTGACTGACTAGGGCAACTATGAGAAATACCGAAACAACAACAGTCACTTCATACACAGATCACACTACACTTCCCATCATAATTCCTACTGATCTTACTCTATCAGTGCAGCGTAACTACAAAAAAGGATCTGGAATATTAAGCACCACGTAATTGGTATGCTTCATGCTCAAAAATTCAGTTATAATGCAATATCAGCAGACACTATGCCCATATTGACATTCTTCTTTTTTATAACCGCTGCAAGAGATCACTTAAGCATTAGGAGCGATGGGAAATTTTAAGGGAAAAAGGGTAACTAAGACAAGGCAACTGGCTGCCCTTGTAATCTGCAATCAACTTGAAGAGCCACACCAGGTCATGGGAAATTTCTAAGACGACAATCCTTTCAAAGTTCTTTTCCCACGGTCAGAAAAAAATACCACATGGAAAAGAAACACTCCATGAAAAAACTACTCTTTCACTATCTTTTATAGTAACTTGTACGTAAGCCGAACAATGTACAAAGGTAGCAATCACCTTTCTAGTTAAGTGCCTTTTCAAAGTAGTGCACAAACCTCTAAGAATGTTCAACCGATGTATTATCAGCTGGCTCATGTACTGTTTGCGGATATTGACATTTGCAATCCTTTCACCGGATCTGTTGTCATTGTTTGAGCTCAGATGACTCAGGCACAAACAACGCTATTTTCACGTTTAAAATCACCACTGGTCTCCCACAACAATAACAGGAAGAACTGTACGGATCGATATGCAAGATTACTAACAGGGACTTTTCTCCTCCTACCCAACAAGACACACGTAAAACTTTCTTAACCAGGTAAAGCGTGCTGCACTTACCAGATCTCTATGAAGCACCCAGTTCGCATGGAGGTAATGGATTCCATCAAGGATCTGGTAGAGTAGTGATTTAACCATAGATCTTGGCAATTGCATGGGCTTTTTATTTGCTTTTGAGGCACGGTGAAACTTGATTATATGCTAGAAATAAAACAAGCAGAAACGTAAGCTTGTTAGACAACAAAAAAAGAAAATCTTCCAACTAAAAAAAAACTATTAACAATAAATAATGGAATGAAATGCAAAGTCTGTTGAACTTTGCAATTAAAAAGTAACAGAGTGAGGTGCTCCCAACATCCTTAAACTGTTTTGATCCTCTCAGTTGCTTGAAAAATAGCTGTCAAGCTTTTGATTATTTCTGAAGACTAGCTACTTACCTCCAGTAACATTTCTTGTTCATCCTCCTCCCTCCCTCCTCCCACCATTCCACCTGCGATCCTCCTATCCTCACTGCTGCTAGATCAGAAGCCTCTAAACCAGCAGCACCTATTGGAAAGAGACTTGCATTCCATGTTTCCACATCTTCTATAAAAACCCAGAACCAAGTACCCACCACTACACTTCAGTATTGCCCCTAAATCAGAACCTAGCAGAGAAAACTGAAACAGAACAAAAAATCCACGCTATTAGGGTGAGATCATGTGCAAGCATCTAAAGATCTTCAAAGTTTTGGCCATATACTTCACTGATGAAGATAAGCCAGTGGTTCTTGAATTACAGAGGTCACTCAGTCCACAAGACAACAAATACTGCTTGAAACTGAGCCCAGGGAATGCAAAAAGGATCCCAGCATAAGTCAGTTGAAAGATTAAGAAAAAAAGAATGACAAGATTACTGACATATCATGAAATATTCATAAACTGATCAATATTTATTGTAAGATCTATGTGAAGATCGTGTGTCAGGTTTGATTTTGCTGCACCATATAGCAAGAAATAAAATGGGATGAGGCCCTTCTACCTTTTCAATCCTCAGACAAGGTGGAGCTATGCAAGGGACAAAACCGATTTTAACACACTGCCACTAAACAAAAACTTATTCATTCCGATAAAAAAAAAACACCTTACTCTTTTTGAAGTAGATTCCAAGAAGCATTTCAAATAACAAAACAGCTTTCAATTGCACACTTTTTGTGAGAAAGAAGTTGTAAAGACAGTTTGCAGTTGTAACAAAAGCTATTCCAAATGTTAATCTTTAGTGTGGCAAGACTACTGATTACCCAATTTTTGAACAGGATTTGTCCAGTTTCAGATCATCCTCCTCCAAATTTAGGTGACAGCCGATAGTTAGACCTCCACCACCACTCCACATTATGACTATCACTACCAATCCAAATAGAAATGGCTATGGGTTAATGTTTCCTCATGGATAATGTCACCTCTGGCTGTCACCAGAACCTCAGCAACTTCCAATACTTCAGCCGCTGTTAATTGTAGTTAGCAAAGTTATAGATACTACTATTTAAAGAGAAATTAAGAAGCAAAATCAAGTGCTTATTTCCAATCAACATTAATGTTTCCATTGACACTTCTTACAACGCATAAAACAGGAGTGCCTTTATATTAAAAAAAAAAAGTTTAAAAATAATCTGTAGAATTAATAGATTTTAATATATAAATGGACACTAAAAAACAAAGCTCTTGGTACCTGATTCTCTAATTGTACAATCACTCCAAAAACAATAAAGGAAAGCTTTAAGGAATAATTTCCCTGGGCACGTTTTCACACGTCATGTCACAAAAAGATTGTCAGAACTTCAACTCAGAATCCCTATCTTCCAGCACTGTACAATGTCACTGGATAACAACTTTCATGTGTTACTACAATATGATTTAAAAAGCAGTAACCATTCTCTAAAACTCAAAATTAATATCTTTATATTAAATTATTAAAAAAATACAAGAGCACCACAAGGCAAGAGTTTCAGCACGCAGACCCACAAGCCAATCTGAGCCCTTTTTCAAAACACATAAAACTACTAAACAGGATTTCTCTACCCATTTGAAAACTGATTAGAATCCACAGAAAACATTCATATTATAATAAAGGCATACAAAATAAGAGTCTGCAAAATGGTCTCATAGACCACAACACAACTAAATTAGCACCTCAGGAGGAACTTTACACCTCTAGCCCCAGATGCTTGAGTTGCATCTCCCAAATGCAACAACAGTAGGCCAGGACCTCTGGTTTCTGCCCTACCCTCCCATGTTTCTGCCTGCTTTCTTCCGAAGAACCAAGAAACCTGATTTTCTTTCTTTCAATACTCACAACACTGTTGTTTAGTGGACTTCTGTATGGCTCCAGTTCAGGGTCAGTTCTCTGCCTTAAAAATTGACATTTTCATCAACTGCTTGGATACAAGACTTGAAGGCATACGATGTAGATTTGCCAATGATACTAAATTATGAGGACATGTTGATTCCTTCATGGGCAGAGAGGCCTTGAAGAGAGATCTTGACAAACGGGAGGGCTGGGGAATGACCCAGCACGAAATTTAACAAGAACAAGCGCTAGATTCTGCAACTAGAACAGGGGCAGCTCTAACTACATGTACAAACTCAAGGGGGACAAGAGGCTGAAGAGTAGCCATGTGAAAAGGGATCTACACGTTCCAGTGACGGTAAGATGAAATTAAGTCAGCAGTGTATCCTGGCAGCCAGAAGGGCCAACTGTACCTTTGTCTGGGGAGCAAGGAGACTTAGTTCAGACAGTGGTTGCAGTGACTGCCTTGAACCTTCTCCCAGTGATAAAGTAAGTACCTGCACAAGATGTGCAGCCATGACAAGTGCCTGAGTTGCTAGAAGTAGTTAAAAGATTGAATAACATTAGAGGTGCAGAGAGATCTGTTAATAATCATAATCCTATAGCAGCTAACAGTGAAAAGAAGTACCTTAGTCCCTGGTGCCAAAGAAAAGCCAAAGTCCTCACACACACTTCAGTCCTCACTCTCCAGCTTCACTACCAAAACCTGATACAAAGCTTATAGCAGTAGACGCCCAAGATACTTATGACCAAGATCTGCAAGAAAACATACTTACAGCCACCAGTAAACACTGTAAAAAGAAACAAGTACTTGTAATGGGTAACTCCCTGTTAAAAGGCACAGAGGCTCCCCTCAACCAGTCCAACTGAGTCTCAAGAGACACGCCTTCTCCCCAGAACCAAGAACTAGGACAAATTTACAATCAGAAAGATTAATATGGTAGAAAGATGATAGAGGAGCATAACAGCAAAGGGACTAGCAAAGATGGAATGGTGTTACAAAGGGTGTCATGGTTCTATGTTTTTTCTGTTTTTGTTTTTTGTTTTTGGGTTTCAGTATTCCACATCAAAACATCATGTAGTGTACGGGGCATTAAAGTGTCACTGCCCCAATTCCAAGTACCTATCCCTGTACATTACAGCAGTCACGGGATCTGGCCCTTCCGGGTGGGGGGGGCGCTCTCTTGCTGCCTTGCAGTGGGTGCTGGAGGGTGCTTTCCTAGCCGTTCCAACCTTTCCAGGTTTGACTCGGTCCCGGGAACTCTCCCTCTCTCACCTTGTCTGATTTATTCATCTCAATTTCAATTAAATTGTATATATTGTGTTATCTTGTATTCCGATATTATAGTAAAATAAGTTTTCCTCCATAGATTGCTGCCGCTGCTCTCTTCCTCCCTTCCTTCCTTCCCATTTTTGTGGGACTGGGGTGGGGGGAGGGCAGAGGCCTGTCGCCCCTGTCACGGACATAGATTGATCTGGTCAGCTCCGTGACAAAGGGAAAGGAAAGGTGCTCACCCATCTCTGAAAATCTAGGCTTGCAGTAAGGACTCCACAAGGGACGGATCTCTAACTAGAGATCCTTCCCCAGTGGCAGTCAGCCCTTAAGTGGAGTCTAAGAGAGGTGGAGCCAGGCTCCACCCCTTCTGGTCACACAAATGAATTGCCTTCACCTATGCTCCCAGGGCTGACCCAGTCCTTTCCCCAGGTGTTCAACCAGTGGTTCAAGCCATAACTCAGTTACCATACAGACACTGCCAAAAGAAAAGAAAATATACTTATGACTTATGGAACAGTATTCAGTCTAGTAGTTCATGCACCTTGGATGTTACCAAAAGTGTTGAAATAGGCTTGAAAATTGGCTTATGAGGAACTACGTACAATTTCTGAACCTTCCACCATAAGCAATTTAAACAGAACACAAGATAATACAGCTCAAATTCATTTAGTTTTTTCCAAGAAAATCCCTAGTATATACACCCAGTATCCAAATGAGCACTCAAAAAGATCCTAATTTTAGTCTGCTTGTAAGCAAGTCAAGCTTATGCACACTGTGGTAGTGCCATCCCATTCCTGATTCCAAGAGCTGCCGTTTACTACAACAGTGGTCAAACAAACAAACAAGCTACATTCAGAAGTTCTCATGAAATTAAGTCCCTAAAAGTGGCATTTCACATGTGTCTGACTAAAAATGTTGCAATACGGGCTGCTACCTCAACAGACATGAGATGATTCACACAGAAGCTCGATCTTAAGATACAACTCACTGGAAAACCAGATTTCTTGAGTTCTACTGCTTAAATATATTTATTTTTTAATTACATGCATCTCCATCAAACTGAAACAATCTTTTCAAAGTGGGTGCCTCTCCATGCTGAAGTAAATTGTCCATATTCTCAACAAAATACTTTTTACATATACCCTCAACCAACTTCTGATAAAAGAATACAATTACGCCAGTCAATTTCAATACACCAGTAAAATTAGGCTTTATTATTAAAGAGATGAAGGTTTGATACACATTTAACCTGTGCCAGGGTAAAGAGGATGATTCAGATTACATGGCATCAAGTCTTCTCTCTTCAACGATCAGTACTCAAACACTGTTACATATCAAATGTAAAGCACTTGAAAGGCGAAGGAAAAATAAGAATCTGGAAATGCTAAACATGCATTGTTTGCACAATTTTCAAAAACAGGAAAAAAAGACAGACCCAATTATCTTAACTCACATTTGTTTGCTGTTTCAGGCCTAAGCGTAGAACTGATTTCAGGCACTAATGTTTAGACTAAAAAAAATTCTGTTGAGGGTATATCACAAACTAAACTCATATCAAAACAAAAACGGATAGAAGTACTTCTACTGACATTGCATGCATTTCCAATTTCAGCTACATTATGACAGTCAACACATACTAGCCCACACAAAAGAGAAGAGATAAAAATAAGTTTCAGTTCCCTCCTTAACAATGCTGTTACACGGTTGTTCTTTAGAATCCCTTTAACTCAAATTGCCAATGAAAAAAAAAAAAATCAATTTTCAAGAGACAAAAGGTCAACATTTTGACAGCAAAAGAAGCTTTAACATTCTACGTTTTGATAAACCTGACTTCCTTTAAATATTTATACTTTGAAGCATAGTGAACATAAAACAGATTCAGTATTGTTTTCCCAGGTTTTGTAGGGGTCTCTCTAGTTCTTCCAATTAAGACCAAAATATGTTTAGAAAAAAAAAAAAAAAAAACAAAAAAAAAAAACAAGAACAACCTTCAAACAGCAATAAAGTCAGAATTCAATCACTCTTTCACTATATACCTGAAATATCCAGTATTCATGTCACTGCTAAATACAAATTATCCTTGAATTCCCACAACCCTGGCAAAAAATAAAGTGAAATAATGTAAGTGTGAAGTGATTCTCAGACAAGACTACTATCAACAAGGAATGGTGTTGCCATCTGCAAGACATTCAGCCAGCACTTTTGTGTCAAAAACAACCCCATCTATTTGGAAAGGATAAATCACGCCATAAAGATGACTTTCCATAACAATGCCTGTTGATAAAAATCATATCTTCAAAGCAAACAAAAGCTATGCCAGCCCACTCTCTTTTGCCCCCATAAATCTTATATTCTTCTATCTTCTAGCAGAATCCTTCATTGCTAAAGACATGTGACAACAGAAGACTACACAGAGAATTGCCTAGTGGACTGGAACTGGATTAAGAGAAAAATACACACATGACTACAGAAAATTAGAAGAGAAATATAAAGCTACTACACTGAGAAAGGTATTTTAACACGAATAAAAATATTTGTAATCAGCAAGTATTATCATCATGACTGAAAGCTAAACTGAAACCTAGAGGAAGTAAGAGTTATAACTGATTATACCAGATTTGGAGAAAACTAACCTAGATCTATTATAAAACACTCATGTGATTAAGCACATTTGCAAGGTTGTTGCATAAATTGGTATGCAAAACCCTCAAAACTTCTTTTAGCATACAAGAATATTATTCAAAACGTCGTTGAAACAGAAACCCGTGCATTCGAAATAACTTTTTTTTTTCTTTAAGTCATTAAAGACCATAGAAGTAAAACAGATATATTAATTAAAGGAATCACACTTTTCCATCCACACGTAGTTTTTCTCTTAGACTATGAAGTCCTAACTGCATACTTGAGGAGGTTAATTAAAAATAGTATTTACTCATGGACTTGAGATTAACTCAGGTATGTGTTAAGTAGTTTTGTTTGTCTGTTTCAATCTAAACATGAATTAATCAGGAGAGAAAATCCAGATACAATTTGAACGAAAAACATCCAAGATGTTATCAGTAAACACTGAAAAATGAAGTCCTTCACTAGAAAAAGAAACAAGAGATAGTTGGTTCTCTAGCTGTGAACATCTGAAACTGCTTTCAATTAAATAAAACAGACATCAAAGTTGTGAGACTGAAGCAAACTACCAGGAGTTAAAGAAAGAGTGTAGGCCATAATGCATGAGATATTCAATAACAGAGGCTGAGACACACCTTCATAACCTTGTGTCAGACGTCTCTTTTGCACACAGTGAGGAAAAAGCTAAGGAATCTCATATTTACTTCATAGTATAAGCATATGCGAGCAGTGATGACACTGTAGACAATACACTATAAATCAGCACATGTGGCACATTCAATACCTTAAAAATGTTATCAGTTGTTAGAGACTGATAGCCCAGAAAAATCATAAGGAAATCATTTGTGGATCACACTAAATTTTGGCAATTGTTTTAATTAAACATGAATTATACATCAGTTGGTCAAAAAATCCGCTATATTCTTACGCATTCTTTTCTGTAATCCCATTAACACTTTTGCATAGTTTTGTACAACATTACTTGAGAGGCGATGAAGGAAAATCTTTGATCGACTTAGAAATCAGACAGTGAATACATTTGCTAGCAACGATAACATCATAAGTCTTCATCAATGCCTGTCAGAAGTTGTTCTAAACAGGCATGGTTTTCTTTATCCCTTGAAAATGACATCACCAGAAGTTACTGCAAATTATACAGTATGGTGCTATTATACCTCAAATTTCAGATTTGAGTACACTAATCCTTGGGAACTAAATGCAAAGTTAAAAAAGAATGTTGCTCACTATGAAAGAACTTTTTAATAAGCTTAATTGGCACCATCACTTTTCCTTATTAGAATGGGACAGTTTTCTTCAGCATTACAAAACGAACAGAAAAAGATAGCATCTAACATAGTTCATTCATCTTTTGCCAAATATTTGCAGTACAGAAACTGAAAATGTAATGATTTTAATTAATCTGTTTATAAGTAATGAGCATTTATTCTTCTCATTGAAGCCAGTATGTCATACTAAAGTTGGGCAGCTTTGAATAGAAGGAAGATTCCCATCTTTAAAAACAAGTTCTGCTACATAACATTAAGATATTTACATTTGAAACTGCATTGGTCTCTGGGAGTCTGTATTTGTCTCGTGACGGCACATCAAGTCAATACTTATCAAAACTTCAATCTTACTAAATTTGATATCCACAATGAAGAGACTTACTTTGCTTTGAAGTGGTGCTGGGGAAGCACACGGTGTAAACCAATCACAAAAATGTGCCAATCCCCTATTACAGTTCCTACCTCAAACTGCTGGAAGGGCACAAGTTGTAAAGCACAGAAAATGCAAAACACAACACAACACAGACAGAATGACAAGTGGTTGTTATTACTGAAATGTGTCACAAAATCAGTGGATTTTCAGGAGGCTTTTGAAGAGGATAGTGAAGGATCTTTACGTACGTTAATTGGGAGGCTGTTCCATGTGTAGGAGGCAGCGTGGAAAAAGACACAAAGTAGGGAGTGAGCAAAAGAGACAAAAGGGGAATCAAGAGCGATGCTTGGGAAGTGCTGACAGTAAAGGAAATGAGGACCAACGTCAAGCCAGAACCAAGATTGCCTTGAGTATGGCTAACTTTATGCAAGGGAGGAAAACGAATTCCTGCAAAGGCTTAAGAAGCAAGGAAATATGGGCAATTATATAGGAAAGGAGAAATGATTTGTGTAGCATGTCCCATAGGGAGAGGAAAAAAAAAAAAAAAAAAAAAAGCAGTAGGAAGTGGGAGACCAGTTCACATCAAATAACTAGTATAACAAGCATTCAATTTCAAATAATGAAAAAGAACGAAATTCACGAGATTATGACCAATACTCAGCCAAGTGTAAGGGGTGGTAGGAACATTAGACTGCAGCAATTCTTTAGATAAAGCTGTTAAGTTATGCAAAAAGTCACCATGTTGTGTAAAAAGCAGATGCCCCAAATAAATTTGAATGGAAAAGTTGAGCACCAGTATGTTTTGAACGTCTCTCAATGTAGCAGTAAAATATGTTTGTCGTGGCTGTTTTTTTAAAAATGATTAAACTCATGATGATGCACATATAAATTCTGTTCCATACAGAGTTTTATCTGCTGCATTCCTATTCATCATCACTGGCACCAGTTGGGAGAAATATACAGATTCACTGTACACATAAATGTAATGAAGAAAACTTAAAATACAAAGGTGCTACCCTACAGGAGAAATTCAAATACATTTTTAAACATAAAAATGGACTGAAGTCTCATTACTGCAATCGTTCTAAGCCAAAAGTACATTTTTTACATAGTCTGTCTACTTTTCTTCCAGATTACACCTTTTTTTTTTTTGTCATTTACAAGTACATATGCATTAGTTCTTGTACAAAAAAAAATTAAAAAAACCCAACCACTCTGTCACTATCATAGTATCATTACAAATAGCAATTTCCATATTACTGAAGCATTAAGAAGTAATATTGGAATTCATTTTTCCACTTCCTCTTTTTTATAGTATTTTCAAAGGAATTATAAACATACTGATTACTAGTCATGTTTGATACCTTTTGGGTTTAAGTCTTAATCCAAGTCCAGGCAACTCACTTCTTAGTGAAGTCTTTTCACATTTCACTGGAAATTTACTGACGTGCAAGTCTCTATGCCTCTTCCATATAATCTTAGCACATCAGCAGACCCAATCAATAGTGCTTTTTTTGTTTGTTTGTTTGTTTTTTTAACTTTCATTCCACTCGTACTGCCACAAATTCACTGTTCAAAATTAAATGACAGAATGTTAATGCCATTGTATCTCAGTAAAAGGAGTCAGTAAACAGTCCCACTCTTTCTTTTTCCTTTTTCTTTGTATTGGTAAAACTGCAGGGAAAATAAAATACTAAATAGATTTCCAATCTCTATTTTAGAAGGTCTCAATTTAGGAATACCATCTTTAACCCTAATTAAATCTTAATGGGATGCTGTTTTAGCTTCAAAATTAAGTCTGGCATTTTAAAAATTCTACAGAGGTTTTGCAGGTTTTAAGTGAAAGACCAAAGTGTAATAAGAACAGGATGTCAGGTCGACCCTGAATTACAGAGGAAGAAACGTATGCATCTCTGTGTTATACAAAGGCACATCACACACACTTCAGCTTGTCCAAGCTCCTTTTACACTAGGTCAAACATTCAGGGAAATCTGTACTTACCCACAAGTCATGCTCAGCATAATCAAACAGCAGCCAAACCTTTCTGTCACTGTGAGAAAGGAAAACCTTCTGTAATGCAATCACATTAGGGTGCTTCAACTCTCGTAAAAGCTGCAAAGAGAGACAAGCTGCTGTTATTTCCAAGTTTGTTAAAAAAAAAAAAAAGTATTAGTCTTACCACAACTAAATAAACAATCCTAAATAGGCCCTAGAAGAGAAATACTGTATAACACCACTATCAAAGGTAAACACCAGAATTTTAAAATGTTAGATTGAAGCTGGTGCAGCCCATCAAACTCCTCATGTGGACAACACAGTTAGCGATTACCACACAGTTGTTTAATTTCCCATAATTTTTTGCATTTAATTCCTGTCTCAATTGCCTGATAGTCTATTGGGTCCTTGTTTTCAGAACATAAGGGTGTTTTTAAAGGAAAGCTTACCAAATAACTGTTATTAATAGATGTTCCAAGTACTCTCCTGTAATCCAGATATAAACCTGAACTTACTGTTTGCCAGAAACAAAACACAACTAGGTCTCATGACTACTATACCCATAATTAAACTGCACATGAAGGCATGCACCACCACTGAAGTCACCGTTCTGACAGATTAAATCAGTCCTCAGAGAGAACTGGGAAGCAGTAATTCCAAAAATATCATTCCCATGAAATCACTTTTTTTTTTTTTTGAGACACTGCCATCATAAAAATGATTCACTACTTCTGTTTTATCTGAAAATTGCTTGCATCTGCAATACTACTATATGAATTACCAAGCATCAGTTTCTAATGGCTAAACAATAATTAGCATAGACTCCACAGTACATCTGAGACAGACAAATCATCCTCTTTTTTTCCCCTTCAGAAAAAAGACATTAGATGTTAATTTTAGGGTGAAAAAAAAGGAAAGTGATTAATTGTAAACCATACTGTCCCTTGGCTACACAGATACTTTTCAAGACAAGAGATCTTCGAAAGAATATTAAAATAATTTGAATCATTTCAGTTTTCCAGGAAATTAAATAATGTAAATGTTTCTTTTCTAGCATGCAGGAAGTGTTTTCTTCTGTTTCTTCCTTTCCCTAACACAAAGGGTTAGCCAGCTCTGAAAGATGTTCCTACCTAATGAACTCATAAGCAGTCATTGTCAGGTATCACATTTTTATCACTTAAACAGTAACATTAACTCTTAAATTATAAACTATCAGAAAACTAAAGATTATAATTGTGTCTCCTTGACATATATTAAAAAAATACTGCCATATACCTTTTTTTTTTTTTTTTTTTAAGAAATGCAAAAATTATTTTCCAGTTTGGTTTGCTTCTGACTTTACACTGTTTTAAATAAAAAAAAAAAAATCTTACATAGCAGTATTTTTTTTTTTGTTTTTTTTTTTTTTTTTTTTAAAAAAAAAAAAAAAGACACTGTTACCAGTAACATTGAGATAAAATAATTTTGAATTTTGAAACAGTCAGTGAGATGAAGCATTCTCTCAAGAACTCTGCAGGAAGAAATAGCCAAACAGCACCGAGCTCCATAATGAAAACCAGCATATTATAGAAACATTGACAGAAGTTCTATGTACAGCATAAGAACAAAAACAATGCCTGAAGCATTCTGCATTAACTTAAAGGCACTACACAAAGGAGACAAGCATGCATACATTCTTCAGTTCTAAGCAACAGTGTGCTCAAGCCAAGCCGAGCAGAGCACTTGTGTAGTGGTGGTCACGTGCCAGATTAATAAGCAAAGCCTGAAACCCTTCCTTTTCATGGAAGCCACGTGAAAGCACTGTCCCTTTTCAAAAAAAAGTGGTACATTTCTTATCCACAACAATGAAATGCACTCATTTATAACAAGTAGGCTATTTTTAATGCATTTTTTTCTCATCTTTTGATGCACCTTGGATGAAATAACAAGCAACATTAAATAAAATCTCTCACATGAAAGAATCAAACTCATGCTGGTTTGATCTTAAACACTGATTTTTGCAAAAACCATAAGGAAGAAATCATTATGTTATTGTGATGTTATACATGTTGAGCCTCCACCAGAATTTCTGTATCTGAATGGAGTACTTATAAGCAGTCAGAGATGGAAAGAGGTCTCAAATTAACAAACTCTGCTTATCCATGTTACAGGCACTCTCTACCTGCATGCTTTTCAAGTCTACTCTGCTCTGACAGTAAATTAACATTATTACAGAATTTTTGAGAGGTTACCTAGCAATTTTTCCTAATTATAATGGAAGCTGGATATGTCCCAGTAAATCATAGAATCACTCAGGTTGGAAAAGACCTTAAAGATCATCAAGTCCAACCACTCACTGACTGGAAGCTGGCAAATGTCCCACATTTCAAAGAGACGACCCCAGTAATCACAAGCCTGTCAGTCTCACCTCCGTGCCTTGCAAAATTACAGAGATTATTCTGAGAGCTATTGAAAAGCATCTGAAAGACAAAGCAGCCATTGGTCACAGCCAACTCGGGTTCATAATGGGAAAGGCTTGCTTAATTAATTTAATTTCCCTTTTACGATAAGGTTACTCACCTTAGTCGACCAAAGGATTTTTGGATTGCAACAAAGCTTTCAGTACAGCTTCTCACAGTATCCATCTGGACAAAACAGCCAGCACACAGCTGGATGAACACACAATGCAATGGGTGATGGGTAAAGCTCAAGTTATAGCAAACAGGGCTAAATCAGGCTGCCTGCTTTTTCTAGGGTTCATCAGGATTCCATTGTGGGGGCAGTTCTCTTCAATGTTTTGTCAGTGACTTGGATACAGTACTTAACAGTATACTAATTGAATTTGCAAACAACTCTGCATCAACCCCATTTAACTACACTGTCTTCTTTTTTTTGTTTTTAACTAAACTGCTCCATAAGTATGTACTGCTTTAAAGGAAGCCAGGGCAGTATCCAGTTCTTCAGTTAACCTTAAACTAGAATATAAGGGCCTTACGTCAGACTTGCCACTTCTGTTTCTTGACTGTTTCTGCTATGATGGAAGCGGTTGTCTTGTCATTGTGCAGGTTGAAAATGAATCCAAATTCAAGCTCTCTGAATGAGGGAATTCTTCCTTAAATACATTATCAAACAGGAAGTATGGGGCAAAAAGGAGAGGTTTAAGACTACATTTAGATAAAACTGTAGCCTAATCTAATGGCTCACCTCACAGTTTCACTCTTCTGCTATTCACCTGATGAGCTGTCACATGCCAAATATGTAACAGTTGTGAAATGGCTGCACGACAATTCTTCACCATAAACACATTTCACAAATGTGTACTGTGGTTGCACCTAGAATCCCAAGGACAACTTCAGAGCCATGGTAAATCATTCTCCACAGCTTTTCTGAAACACAGATTACTGCATAAACTTTGAACATATAAAATAGAGGAATAAAATACAATACCATTTTTTTCTGAGGGCTTGTGAAGAACTGGGAGATTGGGTTAATTCAAAGCTCAAGGCAGAAGGAACTAATACACTGTTTTTGTATTTGTAAGATTCCAGTCTTCATGACCACACTTTATTACAAAAAATAATCCAAACATAAAAAATTTGCAACTGCTAGAATTTATTATCAACTGAACACAGCACCCTATCTTAACAGCGCTTCAGCTTACTGTTCCTTCTCTACAATTCCATTTCCATTATGCTCAATTTGCAGTAAAACTCTAGTAAGAATCTGTCTCTTAGGTGACATACAATACACTTCCTTCTTGTTAACAGCACACAGAGCCATTTGAGTCTTAAAGTCTTTGGGAAAGGCATCAGTTTGCACTGTCAACGTTCTGTGCAACTTCGGATTTAGACAATAAATCCCATGCTAGCTGAGGTATTTACAGGAGAGAAAGGGATGTACTGACAAACTCATCTTTGTGATACTGCTTTAAAACAATATATACAGTTTTTACCTGGGCTTAAACATCTCCCTCTCCACACACACACACACACACACACACACACACAAATTAACTTCCTGAAAAGGGGAAAAGGCAATTAAAGGAACAAACAATCTATCCCTCAACAAGGGAAGAAAAGCTTGCCCAATTACTGTAGCAAATCAACTACTAAAAAGAATTAATATTGATACCCACTAAAATACAAAGGTGTGAGCACCAAAGACAAAAGACATAATTATGCTAAAAGGCACAACTACAGCGCTAGGAAAACAAACAACTGCTATCAGATAAAGTCACCCTCAAAGATGGCACCTCAAACACCAAAGTTCAGGAATAGCTTCTCAAAAGCAATGAAAACAGCACCTCATTTGCAGTTTGATCATGACAGGAAATTCATTACTTAATGACTCCAATTTAACCATCTGCCACTAGATTCAGTGATGCAACATCTATGAAATACCTAGCTTTTATAGAAACTTTCAGAAAAGGTAATTTGGTGGGGTCTTATTGATCATCTCCAGGAGATGAAAGTATTGACAGACAGCTCCTACAGTAGTTTGTTTTAAGCTCTTTGAACTTAGGCTACCAACTGTCTATCAATATACCACACAAGTAACTTTTGTATCACGAGCAGTTAGGAAGTCTCTTGCTCCTTTGCATTAAGGAAGTTCTGCTTTCTATAAAAAACTACTTCTGTAAGAAGGACAGAAGAGAGTTTCATTGTTACTACCATAAACAAAATGATCAATTCTGAAGGCGTTCAGCCCTCTTAAAAATAGTCAGGCAGCACATTTCTAAAGGAAACAACTTCCACATAGTTTTTCCATCATCAGGTAAAATAATGCTTTCTTTCTACCACCTACAAAATCAGGGTGAACACAGACCCTTTCATCTCACTGTGAAACTAAGAAAAAGGAAAATTAGAGAAAATAGGAAGACAAACACTACCGTCAATATCTACACCCACAAATCTTGCAGTAAACACATACTATGTCAGTGAAGACAAAACATCACCTTCAGAAGTGAATTCTGAAGTCAGATCATCTCATCTAAGAGGTATCCCCATCTTCCAGTTTACTCTGGTCTTCCGATCCTAGTTAATCCACTCCGGAATACCCCTGGTAATTTCTTTGATGGAAATATAGTCAGTGATGCACTTAACTGCTTTCAAAGTTAGAACCAAAACCTTCAACTGACA